ACAGGAACAATATATAAGACATTGCCTTCTAAAATTTGGATAATTATATGCATGTAAAACATTTAGCTTCAGTGTATTTGCAATTTTAGTCCCTGGTCAGGCTTGAGAATGTATTAATTTATATTTATTGAATACAATAAAAACTAATTAATCCAATTAATAAATAGCATCAATCAATACATTTTAGACACTTGTATATGTCTGAGTGCCTCAGCAATCTAAGTGTACCGGGTTAGTGTATATGCTGTGTCCATGCAGAACTTGTGTTTACATTTATTTGGTTTGTCTTTGTCCACAGACATCAGTAGATGTAAAGAGGACCCGCCAATGCAGCCAGAGCTAAAACAGTTTCCCAGGACCCTGATGGGGGACAGGAGAAGGATCTTCAAGGCAGGCTGGTACCATATCCACCCCTGGCTTGAATATTCTCAACAGATGGACTCGGCGTATTGTTACGCTTGCAGATATTTTAGCCCTCCTGATACTGTTTTTTTTCTCATCACTGGAATGTTATGACTACAATGCTTTCAAAGTTTGATGAAATAAAAAGTCAAATAATATTTCGAATCTGTCTTTTTAGCCCTGGGTTGAATGTGCCCCTCCATCAAAACCCCCGGCCCCAGCCCGGCCCCCTCAGTGAAACTGATCTAGAACCGCCACTGTTTATTAAGGTTGCCTTTCTGACTCTAACTTGCCGGAGAATTGCTTGCCGTGCCACTGCTTTGCTGCCTTTCGTATTAGTCTTAGTGCGCGAGGTATATTCGTCGGTTCTTTTTGGTGTAGTCATTTCGTCGTGTGTAATTTGTATTCGAGCTTGTTTTTCTCCCTTGTCTTAGTGCGAGCGTTTTTTGTTATTGGGTTTTTGCATGTTTTCCTGGTACCCGTTTTGACCAGCGTTTTCTGTTGTCTATTTTCGGCGGTGCGGTTTTTGTTAATAAATATTATTTTCATACGGAGTTCTTGTTGGTGTCTGCTGTTTCGGGAATCCTATATTTCAATTTTGTTGCGAATGAAGCGTGTTCCTTTCCGCTTCGCTCGCAACGTGACAAAAGGTTTGTAAAGTGTTTTAATAAATATATGCAATACAATAAGAACGCAAAATGTGAAAAGAGATTAATCTCCTGTGTGCACCTCTCATCCGTCTAGCTTTGGTGCCCAGCCACCCCGCTCTCTTTGGCAGAAGTTTATTTTGGGATATCTGGACATGTTGTTGAAAAGGCAACAAGAAAAGAGGAAAAGAAAAAAAAAACAAACAAACGAGATGATACTCCCGTGTCATTTGCAGGTACTCTTTCAACAAACCTGCTGTACCTCAAGAAATGCTAGTGGCAATTATAGAAGCTCACCAAAAATAAACCAAAGCACTGTTGTGGAAAAGTTGTAACCTGCACAATTATTACGCTATTAAAAATTAAGTGGAATATAACAAGACAACGTCGTTTTATATGCAACGACTATGCCGACATTTTCGAGATGTTCATAGGGCAAGAGTGACATCTATTGGTGAAAGTGTGATTTGGAAAACAAGTCGATCGTAAAGCTGTGTAGATTTCTCCTTTCACATTCACTGTTTTCACGTGATTTCCAGAATATTTATATAGTGCCCTATCAGTCCTTGTCTATAAAGGTAGAATATTAACATTTTCATGTACCTGTGTTTTAAATATAGGCCTACATAATAACATAAAATGTTTGTACCATGGTTCAAAACTATGTTTCACTGTAGAATCCCTGGATATTTTGTCTTGTAATTTTGAATACAGGATCAGTGCTTCAAATATTCAAAGAGGAACTCAAGGCCAAGTGAAAGTTTCAGATGATCAACCATGTTTATTTGTTAATAGGAGTGGCATTTATTTACTTTTTTAAATTATTTTTATTTATTTGAGAATTAGGTCACATTCTTAGTAATTATAATTATTATTATTTAGCTCTTATTTTTGTGAAAGTTTTTGAAAGATTCATATTGACACGTTATTTTTGTAAAATCAAGCAAAACTGACAAATACTCAGATATTGCTCATTTTTATCAAGGTCGGTGGGGTGGGTGTGGGGGCCACCACAAAGCATTTATGCTTAGGGCACCAAAATGGCTAGCCCTGTGTGCATGCGTGTGTGTAAATGCACGTGTGCACAAGTGCGCGTGTGCATGTGTGTATGTATGCATGCACGTGCAGTAACAGATTGATCCCGCGAGGTTGGTTGGTTGAAAAGTAGATCTTCCATCAAAAACGTTTGGGTACCCTTGCTCTACATTCTTAAATGGCTATTTCAGGCCCGATGTGGATTGTTTCAAAATGGCAAAGAATAATAAAAAAAAAAAATAATAATAATAATAAAAATCCTGTAGTCATTGGATCAGCCACCACTCCTCTTACAAAGATTTGTGCAAATTTATTATCCAAACAAAACCAAACTGAACTAATTGCTTGGAAGCCGCTTTCCTCAAAAGATGAGGATCATTATCAGGCTGCTGAAGTGCTTGCTGATGAGCTGATCATTTGAATCAGGTGCGTCGCAATCAGGGAGAGATGGAAAACATGCTGGATAACGGCCCTTGAGGCCTGGACTTGGGCACCTGTGCTCTGCAGTCACATCATAATACAATGTATTAAATAAGATGCAGAACAGAAAGTGAAGAACAGGGGGCAGCGTTGTATCATACTGAACTAATGCAGATCTTATGCTTCCCCTCCACCCGACCCCCCACCCAGCTCTGTGATTTATCTGTTCCATCCAGAGTCTCCACAGCCTCTTAGTCAAAGTCAGCTATGATAAGCGCCAACCGACCCACGGTCAGGGGTGCCACAAGGGGGAGAACAGTGGTCATGATTTTCAGGACCCATGACCTAAAGGGGCTTCAGAAAAAAAGTACACTGGACTTACTACTCATTTGGGTCGGCATTTGCGAATTTACTTATTTGGAAGTTGCTTTTTTTTTTTTTTTTTTGGGAACCTTCCTTTTTATTTGCCAAAAAAAAAAAAAAAAAAAAAACTCTCGGGATTTGCAAAAAAAAAAAAAAAAAAAGCTTATTTTCATTGTCTTTACATTATACCTCGCTTATTGACATTTTTTCATATAAAATTTCTCATCTCACCCCTCGGGTGGTGTCAGTCCCCCATTCAGCTCGGGTCCTCTACCAGAGGCCAGGAAGCTTGAGGGTTCTGCGCAGTATCCTTGCTGTTCCCAGCACTGCGCTTTTCTGGACTGAGATGTCCGATGTTGTTCCCGGGATCTGTCGCAACCACTCATCCAGTTTTGAGGTCACTGCCCCGAGTACTCCAACTCACTGCCCCGAGTACTCCAAATCGACCAAAGATTCCACTTGTCATGTTGATATAAACTTTCAACAATAACCAATTTCAAAACGACAGCTTGCCTCGTCGACCTTGTATTCCTCCAGTGACACGATCGTCCTCACTTTGAGGCTTGTTCTGCGAGCGTGAGGCACTACTGTCACCTTTACCTTCCAGGTTCTCTCCAGCCAAATATGTATGTGTATGTATGTGTGTGTATATATATATATATATAGAGAGAGAGAGAGAGAGAGAGAGAGAGAGAGAGAGAGAGAGA